AAATTGAAATTGAAAAACAAAATCAAAATCGAATAAAACACAATAAAAAAAAATCGAAAAAAAACCCAGAAATAGAAAAAAAAAAACAAAATCGAAAAAAGAATTAAAAAAAACCCAGAAATCGAAATTGAAAAAATCAAAATCGAAAAAAAAAAACTATTAAATTTGAATTATAAAAAACCAGAAATCGGAATAAACAATCAAAAATCGAAATAATTGAAAAAAAAAAATTGAAATCGAAAAACCCAGAAATTGATTGAAATGGAAAAAAAAACAAGAAATCGATTGAAAAACCTCAAAATCGCTGTTGCATGTTGTTGTCTTCGATTTGTTGGTGGTTTTCGAGTGAGTATAGAAAGGAGGAGGTAGGAGATCCAGAAAGATAAAGAGGCGAAAGAGGAGGAGAGGATAGGAGAGAGAAAGAGGAGAGGAGAGGAGAGAGAAAGAAAACGACCTAATGAATTAGCTAGGGTTTGGGGGTAGTTTGTAAGGGCGGTTTTTTTTTAATATTTAAATGACCCGGTTCGAAAAGGCACCGGTTCAAACCGGTGCTATTTTTATTTTTGGCACCGGTTTGGGTTGAACCGGTGCCTTTTCCCTTTTTTTTAAAAACCCGCCCAATTTTGGGCCGATTTTTGGCACCGGTTTGGGCTGAACCGGTGCCATATGGGGGGTGCCAAATGCAATTTTTCTACTAGTGACAAGTTGAAAATCAAGAAGCTTTATGTTGCTATTAGGCCTCAAGTGCCTAAAGTTCCTTGGAAGAGAGTTACTTGCCATAACTTAGCAACTCCCAAGAGTGTTTTCATAATGTGGCTAGCTTTATGGAATAGGCTTGTCACTAAGGATAGGTTGCTCCAATGGCACATCTCTTGTGATCCAAAGTGTTTCCTTTGTCTGAATGGCAATGAAAGTGTTCAACATCTTTTCTTTGATTGTGATTTCTCTAGGAAGGTTTGGAGTAAGGTTTTGGGGATCTTACGTGTTTCCAAGCCTGTTCAGCAGTTTAGTGATGTGATTGATTGGATGAAGAAAATCTGCAGAAGTTCCAGATTGAAGAATAAAGTGATCCAGGTGGCCTTCACTGAAACGATTTATGGTATTTGGATTCAAAGGAATGCAGTTCTCTTTACTGGTTGTTGCAAATCAGTTGATGCCCTTGTTCGGGATATTGTCTTTCACTCAGTTTGTAGAATCCCGGCGGGAAGCAAATATTTGATCGTTTAGGGCTTGTCTCGGGCTCCCTGTGTTTTGTTCTGGTTTCCTTGGGTTGGGTTCTGATTCTGGGATTCCCGTTGTTTCTTTTTGTATTGGTTTCCTTTTCTGCAGGTTGTTACTGTGCTTCTGTGTTGCTGCTGTCTGCTGTTTGTGTTGGTGTGTTGCTGTTGTTGTTGATGCAGTTTGTTGCTTCTGTTTTTTTGCTGTTGTTTGGTTGCTGCTGTTGCTGATCTGCTGCTGCCTACTGTGTTCTGCTGTCTGTTGTCTGTTGCAGTCTGCTGCTGGTGGTGCTGATCTGTTGTTGCTGATCTGCTTCTGCTGCTGCCTGTTGTGCTGTCCTGCTGTGTTGTTTGCTGGCTGCTGCAATCTGCTGCTGGTGTTGCTGTGCTTGCTGCTTACTGTTGCTGCTGGTCTGCAGTGCTAGCTGCTGTTCTGTGCCTCTGCTGCACTGCTGGTATGTTGTATGTGTTGCTGGTCTGCTGTCTTGCTGCTGGTGCTCTGTGATGTGCTTGTGCTTGTGCTGAGTTGTGCTCTTTGTGTTGTTTTTTTTTGTTTTTGGTGTTTTGGCCAGTTTGCAGGCATGTCTGCTTCTGGTTGTTGTTTTTTGGCTTTTAGGTGTGTGGTTTTGTTGTTTTCTGGTTTTCTTGTTGTCTGGTCCTGGTTTCCGGAACCCTTCCTAGAAGGTGGCCGGAAATCTGAGTCTAGTTGTTCTAGGCCCTTCCTAGAACCCTTCCTAGAAGGTGGCTAGGTTTGGATCTAGAACTGGTTGTGGGGTTGGCCTGTTGTTTTCAGGTCTTTTGGTGTTCTGGTGGTAGTTATAACTTAGCTTTTGTAAGTTGTAACTTTCTTTCTTTCGTAATAAAATCTTATTTTCCAAAAAAAAAACTTCTATTAAATTATAAATCAAATTGAAAAAATTAAATTAAATAAAAGTAGAGTTGATTTAGTCCAAACCCTCAGTTAATTTTACCTTTCACGCCTTGGTTTAAGTATAGACCTTTGGGTATTATATGGACTCCTTGGAATGCTTAAACGAAGGAATAGTGAAAGAATGGGGAGGCTAGTGTTTAGGCTAAAGAGGGAGAAGAGATTTATTTGATGATCAAGCTTGTTGATGATTGAAAAAGGGGAGATATAACCTCTATTTATAAGGAAAAAAGAGGGTCGAAGAATCAAGAAAAGATAAGAATTCGAATCGGAATAAAAACTCTTGCGATAGATAGCAGTTTTTGTGGTTTATATTTTTATCATATCTTTTGATCCAGAAATCGGAATAAGATAAATAAGATATCATTGGAAAGCTCTTGAAGTCTAATTTCTAACCCAATTGGAATCAGATTAAAACATTTTGTAGAATAAAAGATATGGCCGAAATAGTGAGACGGTGTCAGTTTTGGATAGAGTTTGACATTTTATTCATATCTTTTCCGCTATTGCTCGGAATTGATATTGGAAATATAATTTCAAGGGCTATCCAACCATATAAAATTTGGATAAAAAATGTGAGGCACGAAAATCATATCTGACTATCTTTGAACGTCTTTCAATTCGAATAAAATTAGGACTTTAAAAAAAAGGAGTTTTATTCAATTTCAAACTCTTTAATCTTATCTTATCAAAAAGGATAATTAGGATCTTTTAGAAATTTATAGAAGCTTTCCTAATTGGTTTAGGAATGATATTAAAGCTTTTGGACCCTCCACATGATCATTGGGTCGTATGTAAGGTGGGCTTAGGTTCGGTTTGGACTCAGTTTAGTATTTTGGCCATAACTTATTCGTTATAACTCGGATTTGGGCTTATAATATATCGTTGGAAAGCTATTTTCAAACCCCATCAAATTAGTAAATCATTGGACTCGGATAATGAACCAAAATAAATTGGACTAAACATTTTTATAAAAAGGACACGAAATGAATGACTTTAAAGGACACGAAATGAATTATTTTGAGTGTAGAGGCACGAAAAGAGGAAAATAAGTTATGGTTTGGGGAAATGGGATAGGAGTTGGGTTGGTTTATGAAATGGAAATATGAATTTAAGCACCCCAAGATTAAATACTCAACCCGACCAATAATGGCGGTGAAAGGTTGTTCATCATTGGGTTTGGTTTTGGGAGATATTTTTAGGTGTCTACAGGCACTTATTATGGCATTTTGTAGAATAATATGGCAAATTGCAAACAATGTCAAAATTCCACAAACCAAGATACACTGATTAAAAAGTACAGCATCAATGCCTGCTTTTATACCACATATGGAAGCAATTCAAGTACAAGCACCCGGAATTAGACATGTATAACCACAATCATCATAACTTAGCACACACTAATTAATTGTATAGCCATAATCATCGTAAGAAAGCATACAAATTCCCTGATATATAGAAAAAACAGCAACTATAACCTCGCTAGTATATAGAATAAACATCAACTAACTTACAGTGATTCCACGCCTCCAGCTACCTATGTACCAAAGGTGATAACAATACGTCTGAATTCAATTGACGACGATGTTCTACTCAATGGGACTAAGAAGGGGAAATCGGAGAAGGTTACAATTCGAAGACGAGTCGTGAGGAAATCAGCTCGGAGAATGTCGTGAACATCATAATTAGTCGTGTAATAAAAATAAATTCAACATCAGAAGGTTGGAGAAGATGATGTCGCAGTAAAATTCAATTACAAAAAATCAACACCATAGGTTGAAGAAGATGAAGTAGCAGTAAAATAAATTAGGCTTCAGATTGGGAAAGTGAAATAAACGGTGTCAAATGGTTTGACTAACAAAGTCGTTAGTCAAGATAATGAACCAGAATGTACCGTTTGCAAACCTTCTTTGTGTGGTTACGTTTTTACCCTCTACTAAATAAGTGAAAAGACAAAAGCACCCCCTGATGTACAAAATATGTAAATCAGGCTGATGAACTAGTATTTTCCCATGCAAGAGGATATTGGGCGATATGGCATATGAAAGGTTGAGCAAGTGACATGTAATGAAAAAAGAGTCTATATGGCACATAAACATTCATAGAAACATGGATGAGGCAATCTTAAATCTATACTAATATATTAAAAGACGTTACTAAAAAGGTCTCTATGCCACGTAGACCACGCCACGTCACGATAAAGGGATTCGAACACCCAACCTTTTCTAAGAAATAGAGTTACTTAACCATCTAAACCAATCATAAGCTATGTTATATATATATATATAATCACAAGGTCTAATTAAAGTAATAACCGGTGCAATGCACGGGTTACACACTAGTTAGCTATGATGATAAACTCTTGTGATTCCTAGAATTAGTTAAAGTCAAAAATCTCAATTTCAGCAAACCACCCCCCCCCACCCTCCTCTCTCTCTCTCTCTCTCTCTCTCTCTCTCTCTCTATATATATATATATATATATATATATATATATATATAGGGCTACAGAGGTTCCGCACTGTAAACAAGCTAAATTCTGATTTTCAGATTGTCAACTTAACTAAAATATGATACCTAAATATGTAGTAAATCTGTATAATGTTGCCCAAAATAAATTGTTAGCTTAATAAAACCAACAAGTATTATAATAACAACCTGCTGAGTTTGTAAGGCTTTCCATAACAAACAAGCAGCTTGTAATTTCACATGTTTAAAGCTTCCTAATAAGGCATTAGCAAAACAGCATAAACAACATATCATTCCGTGAGGATAATATCAGATACTCGACATATATAGCATACGTATCAGCATATAACTCCTGAATAGAAAACTATGACTTTAGATACGCAGAAAAATAAAAATATAGCAGTGGCATATGATTGAATTTCCGCAATTAGGAACTACTTATATTACAAAATTTGAATCCTGTACTAAAAATTTATTAAAATGAACAAAAAAAAAGAAAAGATCTATATATATATCAGTTGAATAGACAGAAAAAGGAAGGAGGTAACTAAAGTAGAATAGTGCAGAGACTACAAAACAACCTCAACTCCTCCTTCAATGTATGAATCATGAACATTTGTGGATACAAGTGGAATTTGGTCAGCTAGATTGACCCACAGGAGGCACCACCTTTGCTTGCACTTGCACATCAGGGATCCTTGAATTCTTCTTGACATTCACAGCTCCTTTAATGTGACGACTACCATCTTTGATAGGCACCTGAGAATTTCCATTGGTATTCTCATCCAGTTTTACATTGCCTCCAGTATCTACAACTCCGTTATAACCATTAAACATTCCCAGCAAAGCAACCCCGCCATTTCCAGTTGGATAATAGCCAGTTCCATAGTGCAAAGGTCGAACGCCCATCATCGCCCCATAATTATTCCATGGGGTTCTAGGAGCCATAGGCATCCCATAACCAACTATACCGTACCCACCAACAGGATATGCACCGCCATAGAAATACCCAGGACCTCTCGACCAATTGTTATCATCCAAGTGACCACCGCCAGCAGCAGGGGAGTACCTCCCACCACCAAATCTATTATTTCCATTGTTAGAGCTCTTGGTTGCCTCCCTCGGAACAGCCCTCTTAACCTCCACACGCTTTCCGTTCAACTCATGGTGACTCTTTTGCATCAGTTTTTCAACCACCTCTTCAGAATCAAAAGTGATAAACCCAAATCCTCTAGGCCTGTTATTGGAGTTATCATACATCACAACTACGTCTGTAATCCTACCAAACTTCTCAAAGTACTTCTTAAATTCCTCCTCAGTTAGATCAGCAGATAAACCCCCTACAAATATTTTCTTAGTTTTATGGGTAAGACCACTGTTGCTAGCACCATAACTACCATTACTGTAATTCCTAACAAACCCTTTAGTTGTATGAGAGTACCCTTGCCCCGGCAATTGCTGCCGATGAGGCGATTGCTGTTGTTGCGATTGTTGAGTATTTGACTGTTGTTCATGTCTTGGTATAGCTTTTTTCACTTCTACCTATATCACACACATTCCAGCAAAACACAACTCATCGCCAAAATTGAACCAAAAATTGAAAATTTATCAAATCCAATCTTTTATATTTAGACTAATTTTAGATGTATATACGTAGCATTTGTTTTTGAATATGAGACTAATTTTATTTTCTATCAAAACATAAAGAAATTATTAAAAAACTTGAAAAATAAAATAAAAAATATCAAAAATTAAACTCAATTATTAAAATCTAGGGGCTCAAATAAAAAACTAAACAATTCAAAATCTAGAGAAAGACACATTGTCAAAATCATTACCAATCAATCCAAATAAACTCACATTATCAAAATCAAATCCATATATTTAAATCTAAGAAAATAACATAAATTCCAAAAGTATATCCCAGTAAATTGGATATATTATAAACATTAACATAACTAAAACAAAAATAAAAATCAATACTTAGTTAGGGTTCATGCAATCGAGAAAAGGAACCACCGACATTGGAAAAAAAAAAAAAAAATCAAACTCCAAAATTCACAATCAAAGATTCAGAAACACTGACCGGTCTACCCGAAATTACGTGTTGAACACGAAGAGCATCGTCAACGGAAGAAGGATCAACGAAAGTGACAAACCCAAAACCTCGAGGTGTATTAGTGAGACGATCTTTAACAACAATGGAGGAAGAAACTTCGCCATATTTGCCAAAGTAATCCCGTAAATTAGCGTCGGAAGTATCCCTAGAAATTCCGCCGACGAATAGTTTACCGACATCGGAATCCGCCATTGTTGATCAGATCCGAAAACTTGTGAAAGGAGGAACCCTAAAAAAAAGAAAAAAAAAGAAGAAGAAAGTCTCGCTTTCACTCCTGAAAAACTCACACACACACTCTCTCTCTCTCCTGAAAACAACACCAGAAGTTTGTCAGGTATATAATTTTGGTGTGTTTTTTGAGTGAGTCGCGCCAAGCCGCCCAGGTGTGATTATGTAAGAATTGAATCGGGCCGAAGTATGATTTGGGTTTGGGCTGTAACAGGTCAATATTTCAGAGACCTGTTCAACGGGCCGGGCCGGGCAGTGCTTTATATGAAATGGGCCGGGTTGGGCCGGGCCAAGGCTAATTCAAAATGGGCTGAACTTGTCCATGGGCCATAAGCCCGACCCGGCCCATTTAAAAATGTATAAACAAGGTACAACCACCAGAAAGTAAACACAATATAAGAGAATTATAAAGGGTCTTACCCAACAAGTTAAAAGTATTATTGTGGGCAATTAACTCCACTTTACAATGCTTACAAATAGCGATTCGCTCACCTTTTGCATTCGTTCCTTCCGTCATTTCTCGCCAAACTTTAGATTTCCTACTCCTTTTACGCTTACGGGCGACATTAGATTCATCAACCTCATCATCTACCGGCATTGACGTTGTAGTTGCTTCACTTTCCATGGTTAAAAAAATGCAAAAATAGGTAATTAATAATTATTAACCCACTGCCATTATTATTAACATGAAAACTAAAATTGTATAACATTAATCAATTACCACAACTAACAGTAATTCCTGACAGATTTCCATCCCTAACAAATTTACCAAAACAACAACAAAATTACAGAAACAGGGAACCCAAAACTACCCAGATCAGAAAAGTAGCAAAAAATATTCCCTTTAGAACTATAATTAAATAACTGATGACATAATCGAGGTAAGAAAACAAATCAATGGAATAAAATTCAATCCTTAGTAGAACTGCATATAACGGTAAAGTTTGACTCAATCATATATCAAATTAGTCAATTTCAATGAGAAAGTTGCATAGGAAACTACATTAATCTTCTCATTAATAATGAAAATCACAAAAACATACAAATTCCAGATGAAACAAATCAAAATAATTGAAAAAAGGAAATTAAAATGTACTACTTGAATATGATCGAGAACTAATCGAGAAGAATTGAGCGAAATCGAACAACATACCTTGGTAATTGAAATGATATGACGGAATCAACGATTGAGAGCGGCAAGCAAGAAGGTGATAAATTGAAGATTTAGAATTTGGGAATTTTTTTAGGGTTCATCATTTGGGGGAAATAGAGGATTTTTAAAGGGATTTTTTTTTTTTTTGAAACTGACATTAGAAAGTTTTAGAAATAAACAGAAAATTTAGGATAAAAAAGCCTCATAAGTGTTATCTAATTTCAGCCCTTTTTAACTTAGACCCAACCCTTTAAAGCCCATTATTTAATAGCCCTTTAAAAGCCCGCCCCATTTAAATGTTGGATGGGTAAAACCCTTTTATAAAAGGGCTGGACCTAGGGCTTTAAATGGGCCCCTAACCCATTGAACAAGTCTACTAACGAATGCTTTACGGTGAGGTGACGTGGCGTGTGTGTAAGTTTAACGAATGCGACTTTTTCTACTACTCGTTTTTAGAGCTGCTCTTGGCCTTACACTGCTAAAAAGAAATATGCTTGCCGTGCTCTGTTTTATTTTCAAATAATAATTAATAATAATAATAATAATAATAATAATAATAATAATAATAATAATAAATATTTAGTAATAATAATTAATATTATATTGATGGTAATAATTTATTATTTTAAATAACTACTACTTCCGGTTCAATTTACTCGCAACAATTTTCTTTTTTGGGTGGTTCAATTTACTGGCAACAAACTTATTTCTTTCCTTTTTGAGTATGTTTTCGGATGGTAATTGACCAATATACCCTTACTTTTTTTTTTATTAAAACAACCTTATTAAATTACAAATTTGATTTTATTAGATTAAACCCAAGCTTAATTAATTAAACTCTCATCCCCTTTAATTTTCTCTCTCCTTCTCCAACCCCAATTTCATGGTGGCTTCGTGGTGCTGAGAGCGGCAGGGGTTGCAAATTGGCGGCGGCGTGGGTATGGTTTCGTAGGTTTCAGATCGGCGGATTTGGTTTCTGGTTTCAGATTGGCGGGTCGGTTTCGTGGTTTCAGATCGGCGGGTTTGGTTTCAGATTGGCGAGTTTGGTTCGTGGTTTCAGATCGGCGGGTTTGATTCGTGGGTTGGTTTCGTGGGTAGATTTTGCTGGGTTGGTGGGTTGGTTTCGTTGGTTCGTGGGTGTTGGGTTCGTGGTGGTGGTGGGTCGGCGGGTTGTTGGGTTCGTGGGGTTGTTGGGTTCGTGGGTTGCTGGGTTCGGTGGGTGCTGGGTTCGTGGGTTATTGGGTGCGTGGGGTGGTGGTGGTGGTGGTGGTGGTGGTGGTGTGTCGGCGGTGTTGGTGGATGGTTTCAGTGATGCTGGGTGGTGGTGGTGGGTGGTTTGGGTGATGCTTGGTGGTGTTAGTAGTGATGGGTTACTGTTTTAATTTATTAAGGTTGTTTTTTTTTTGGGGTTGGATTAATAGTTAAGCATATACCCTTATTTTTCCATAATCTTGGTTAAAATATTTTGCCTTGGTTTGCGTAAAGTTGTCCTTTGTTGCGACTAAATTGAACCGGAGGTAGTATAATAATTTTTTTTTTGAAAGAAGTCCTAAAGGACACTGAATTTCATTAATATAAACCATACGACATTTACAATTGACAATGAACGATAATGAAAAAGAATTTAACAAAATCAAACAAGAATTAATCGGGGAAGGGCTAAGAATCCAAATACATAAATATAACAATTCGGCATATTCTCGATTCGTCGTCTCATACAACTTTTTGAGTGGTTCTGTCGTTGTAGGGAATATTTTCAAGCGTTGTATGAGACGACGAATCATACACTAAAGTACGGTGGTGTCCAAAAGGGAAGAAGATAGATCAAAAGAGTCGCCAACAAGTTTTAGGAACTTGTAAACCGTTCACAGGGTGAAGGTTACACCCCTGAACGATCCAAGAGATCGTCAACTCCATAAGGTCTAGAACCAAATAAGGGTTTGGGGATGAAGGTACAAATCCAACCTAAAAGAGATTGAACCTGCCTTAATAATAGACCTTTACTTTATTCTGATCGTATTCATGTGCGCTTTCTGACTAACATGCAAACAATAGGTTTACCCTAAACCTGTTTATCTATGTTGGTTGAATTTTAATGCACAAATAAATCTATTATTGGCGATCACTTGAGATTATAATCACATTAACCCTAAACAAGATTATTAATTATCTTATATAAGCGTAATTACAAGTACTAAATTCCCTTTAAACAAGCATAAAAGGTGTGGTCAAGCAATAACAATAAATATCAAGCAACATAATAAAAAATAATTATAACTATCATAATTAAAAATAATCATGATAATAAAATTATAATAATCATCAAAATAATAATAATAATAATCATAATAATAATAATCATAATCACAATAATCATGATAATCATAAATAATAATTAAAATAATAATCATCACAATAATAATAATAATATTCATAATCATGTTAAAGCATAATAAAAATAGCAAGATCCTAGGCATGATACTAACAAGATTAATAACAAATCCTAGCATGTCACTAAACATTAAAAATCAAATCTTTAACCCTAACATGATACTAACAATCATAAATATTGGGAAAGAATATAGGAAGCATCGCAACAATCATATTTGATATTAAAATTACCTTAGACATGATACTAGGAATATCATAATAACAATCTAAACATGATTTCTACATCATAATATCAATAAATCAATTAAAGTACTTGCTTTGATGCCTCGTACCTCTTTCTAATAACAAAATACACACGTTAGTAACTTCAAGGAAAATATAAAACAAACAATTATATTAAATAATTGAAATAGAGATTTGAGACCAAACCCTCAGAAATTAAACCTTTCACGTCTAGGGCGAAGGCAACTTCGAATATGGCTAGGTGTGTCTAGATCTAATGAATGCGGAATTTTGTATTTGAAAAGCAAGTTTAGAAAAAGAAAGAGATGGAGAATGATGAGAGAATGCGAGAATTGATGAATGCGAATTAAAACTGGTTGTAGGTGAATTAAAACGGAGTTTTTACGACGTTATTTATAGAAAAAATTAGCCAAAATGATAAAATTAACAAAACAGAGCATTGGCGCAACTGAAACAGAGCTGGCGCCAACGCCAGCTATTGGCGCCAGGCGCCAATGCCTGGCGTTTGGTGCTAACCCTGTTTTTGACGCGTTTTCTCAAATCAGATAAATTTTGCCGTACAGGAGGATAAAATCGTATCTTTTCCTCAAAAATGTTCTTTGATTTTAATTAAAACTCTGAAAAGTCAACAAAAGTCAATTTATCAATGCTAATTGAATTAGGAATGAAGAGAACCTTCTAGAAGAATCTAGAAGACTAAAAATCATTCTTAATTGCATTAGGAATGATAAATCATATTAGGCCCTCCCCTAGATCATTGGGCCGCATATAAGACTCAAACCGGGCCCAGTTTAGTAAATTGGCCATAACTTCCTCAATATTCATCGGAATTGGGCTTATAATATATCGTTGGAAAGCTCTTGTCAAGCCCCATCCAACTACACTACTATTGGACCCATATTATGGACCAACCAAACTTGATTGGCTATTTTCTTAAAATAAGTTTTCAAAAACAGAGAGGAGAGAAAGGGAATTAAAACTATCCGCAACACTAAACTTTCCACACTTTCACTTCATTCGATTATGATTCGACGTGAAAGGTACTCATCACTGGGTTTGGTTTTGGGGAGACACAAATGGGTGTCTACAGAAGCCCCCAATTTGACTGAGTTTGGAGAAACGCAAGTTTCGAAAACAAAAGTCAAAGTATCGATAGTGACGGAGAGTGATTCAGAACGTTCTTGTAACGCCGATACGTTGACTTTTGTTGCTTTGACTATTATTAGATTTTAAGATATGGCCGTTTTAGTAGAAGGGTGTTGGTTTTGGGCCGAGTTTAGTGTTTTGCTCATATCTTTTTCGTTATAGCTCGGAATTGGGCCTTATGATATATGTTTGGAAAGCTTATTTAAAGGCCTATCCAAAAAAATAATAATTGGATCAAAATTGTATAGCCATAAAATTAGTTTCTCTCAGTTTTGCGATGTGGACACGAAAAGTGGAAAATAGGTTATGGTTTGGGGAAATGAGCTAGAAATTGGATTGGTTCATGAAATATATTGGATAGAACATGGATTTAAGCACTCAAAAGATTAAATACTCAAATCAACCAATAATGGCGGTGAAAGGTGTTAATTAACGGGTTTGTTTTGGGGGGACATTTTTAGGTGTCTACATATACCTTGATGAAACCTGTAGTTATTTGTTTTTGAACTTCTTCTTTTATTTTAAGAGCTACGTAGGGTTTCATTCGACATAAATTTTTTTTTACAGGTTACATTCCTAGAATTAGTGGTATAGTGTGTTGAGCTATTTCTCTATTAATGCCTGGCATATCTTCGTATGACCAAGCAAATACATCGATAAATTCTTTAAGTTAATTAAATCGGTTCTTTCTTGTTTATTAAGTGTTAATCCGATTTTAAATTCTCTTTTATGGGTTGAATCATTTGAGATATCAACCGTTTCAGTTTCTTCAATTACCAGTGTTTTCTTTTCGAGTGTTTCCATTGCTTTAATAATTTCTTTGTCTTTTTCATTGTTAGTTAAGCAATGCTCGTCATCTTTGGTTAGAGAAGAACACGAGAAAGAAGGAGAAGAAGAAATATTATTATACTCTGAGATCATTACATCAAAGAGCGATATGTCCTCAGGGACTTGATCACTAACTATTCTAGGAGAAGAAATAGGAGGGGAAGGTGCTATTATTAAAGACTTAGAAGACTCTAGGGGAAGCGACTCCGACTCTAACTCTGACTCAGAAAACTCTTCAAACATTGGTCCTTGCCCTGTCGTGATGGATATTTTCCTTCCACTTGGAGTAGTCACTTTGATAGTCTTGCGCAACCCTTGTAGTGATCCTTCAGCTGGAGTGATTAGCTTCGAGGGATCGAAGCTTTCGCTTTATAGGACTGTCTGAATGAGCGAGGAGTTATCCTCTTTATAAGTTGGCTCATTCTTTTCTCGCCCAAACAATAATCCCATGACGTTAAAGTCAAAGCATGGGGGTGCTTTCTCCTTGTGGACAAGAGTTGGGATTTCATCTATGAAGTAGTAATCCAAGAAAATCTCAAATCCCGGTTGCCTTATGCCGTTTACAACAAATGGCTCGGGAAATTCATGGCATGGATAGTCCTCTCCTTCTTTTATAAATTGACCATTAAGTCTAAGAGGGTACTGATCCATTGGGATTGCTTTCTTTTAGATGCGAGCGTCCCTACGTGCCTTTGATTTTTCCTTAGCTCGCTTGAGATCTTTCCG